GAGGTTTTTTAGAAGGGAAAGTCATTTCCATGTCTATTAACGCTGCTGGTAAGGACATCTGTGAAGTACAATTGGATGACCTTCGTGACCATACATTCCTATTTTTGGGAACGGAAGTTGAAGTTTAAAGGCCCACCCCGTTCACGTCAACCTCCTGCACCAGTTCGTTTTCCTGTTATGGCTCAAGATGAAGAACAGAGTACTGCCTCCGAATCTGAAGACGAGATAAATGATGAAACGAGCTATGCTTCCAACAATGGCTGGACAATGGGACCTGTCACTGTTGACACACGAAATATATCACCCTCATATCTAACCATTACCTCCTCTTTCAACCTTCCGAACAAATCTACTTGTACGCCTGCCGATTACTTTTTTTTCTTTTTACCAATGGATCATATCCAGGACGTTGTGATTCCAAATATTAATGCGCAAGCAGCGCTTGTAGTTGCTAACTGGAATACTGTCACCTTTTTGGAGTTCATAACTTGGAAGGCTCTTCTTATGACCACGACTGTAATGGTTTATGCTGATAAGAAGGCCTACTGGCATAAAGGCTCAAGTCCTCTTTTCTATCCTAAGATAAACTTTTCGTATTAGATGGATTATGACAGATTCTTTTTGATTCTGAAGTACCACGTTTTTGAATTGTACGATCCCGTAAGAAATATGGCAGATCATTTGTACCAGATTCGTGGATTCCTCGCGGCATTCAACGAAACCTTGTTAAAAGCCCTCGTACCTGGAAAATATCTCTGTATAGATGAGAGTATGAACCAGTGGATCGGCAGTGGTATGCCTAATCTCAAGAAGGTGCCTCGAAAGCCCCATCTCATCGGTCAAGAGTTCAAAACTTTTGCTGATAATCATAATTATTGTATTCTACAACTTGACACGGTCAGTGATAAGGTACCTAAAGAAGTTGATGATGTGGACAGAAATGTAGCTGCAACTGTTAAGCGTCTGTGTAAGCCTTGGTTTACTAGTGGTAGAACCATCATTGCTGATTCTTGGTTTAATTCCACCACAAAGTTATTAGACCAGGGATTGTTCTCTATCGTGCAGGTCACCAAGAGGGCGTACTGGGCCCGAGGAATGCCTAGTACTGATATAATCCGATGTCTTTCTCCTGAACGTGGTAGCTCTGCTGCTATGTTGAAGGTGGATGCCTCTGGTCGTACTATTTTTGTCTGTTCGTATAGGGATAAAAAAGCCAAAGCTTTGATATCTTCTTGCAGTACAACGACTCCTTCCACTCAGTCCTACCAAGACAGTAACGGCTCATTTTTTCGACGTCCTCAAGTTTTTCAAGATTACGAATTGCAGAAAAGTAAGTTGCTTTAACATATCTACTTAAAATACAAGGTACTAACGCAACTTAATTGTCCTCATATTTAGGCAGTGTTGACACAAACAACAACCGCAGAGACAGTATGGTATCATTTCACGATGTCATGAAGACATATCGCTGGGAAGTTCGTTTTCTGTCTTTTGTTTTTGGTATTGCTGAAGGCAATGCTTTTAGTTGCTATAAAATTTGGGCAAATGATGGTGAAGGAATTCTTCATGCCGAGTTCATAAGCAGGTTGGCTATGGCACTACTACATAAAGTTAAGGATGCTGAGCTCCTCTCTGGCGAACAATATGGTGCTGCTATTGTAACAAGAAATAAAAGAAACATTGAAAGGGCACACCAGTATATCCCAATCAGTCGAACGGGTGTTCCTAAACAATTGATCTGTCGAAGCTGCCAGCGAAGTGGTGTGAAACCTCCTGTTCGGGTCTCAAAAAGATGCATTTGTGACATCACACCTTTGTGTAAAACATACCATTTGCGACACTTTGCCGAAGAAACATATAAAATAAAATATTTCTAATTTTTTACAAAGATATTCGCTCTCTGATTCCAATATTCATTTGGATTGCTATGTCTTATGTATGGGCCTCTATTTCACTATTTATAATCGGCCATTTGTGGCCGATTTTTTTTCAAAACCCGACTCGCTTTAGACGAAGATGTTTGTAAGGTAAAATGTGATTATTTCTATACAAAAACTGATAGCATCATAGGGAATATATTAAATAGTACTAGACTTGAATTACAGGTATCAAAAAAGGTTTTTTATAACTGAAAATATTTTATATAATCGGCCATTTGAGGCCGATTTGTCGGAATAGTACTTGTTAATAAATGAAATATACGAGTATTTATATAAAAGACTGTCTGCTATGTTCATATCTCTAGTGCTATCTTGAAGTTATCATTGAATAACCAAAGATGTATATGATTATTACATAGTCACTAATTTAGTCTTCTTCTAATAATGTTAAGTCTTCTTAACTCTTTTTTCTTTAAAATGAATTTTAAGTATTTCTCAGACGTACTAAATTAGACTTGTGATGTAATATCCTTATAGTTCTTACTATGACATTTATTGTTAAGCTTATATTGCAAATGGTATCAGCATGGATATACCTTTGTTAGCTTTAAAATAGCTATAGCCTTGCTAGGTCACCACAGCACAGTCACAGCTTATCACAATTATAAATTATTACCATCTAACAATTCATATAAATAGGACAATTTCTAGATAGATGTCGTGATCGAGACTATATACTTAATGTATGACTCTATCTACACTTCTTAAATCTTCCATTTGATAATCCTAAATATAATTCTTATTGGTACTTTACGTATATTAAATACTGATCATTTACTTTATGTACAGGCTTGCTCTCGTATCATCCTTCATACAAGTATAAGGCATACATTTAAATAATAACATTAATATAATAACATATGAAGGTTACATCAGTCACGTTGAGGTGCCACAGCTATCTTTAATAAGAACTACATTTTCCCCTGAATGTTGTGCTACAAGACATACACAGTTTAAGAATGAATGTTATTGTTATTGTTATTGACATCTCATTATGGTCTTTCTATATGGGATCATTACATCCGAGTACTATCAGGATAATTTACCCACAACCGTCATCAGCCCATCTATGATCAATGTCTGAAATAATGTGTATATAAAGACCCCCTTTTATTTGTTTAATAAAGCTTTAGTTTATTTTTGCAGTTTGATAATTTCACTTTGTTAAATTTCATATTTTTTCTTAATTCGCTATTATCACTTTCGAATTTCTCAATAGATAGTTTTCCTTTTAGTTTATTTTTAACCTTTAACCTGGAATAAAACCACACTGTATATTTTTTTTATTCCCTCTTTTTATTTTTATTCTTTTTATTTTTCAGTGTAAACCAATCCCGTTTACCATATAGCTCGCCGTTTTTCCCATGAATGAGGGAATTATCCATGAGCATGTAAAACCCTTCAAATCGATGGTACTTATCCATTTCATGCATTGTTTTTTTTTGATGAAAATGTTTTAATGATCTGCATTAGCCCTTTCTGTAGCTTTTGTTCTAAAAGCTGTTGCCTTTCGTTTCTGAGGACCGACAGCTTTGATTCTCTTTGGTGTCAGAGGAAGTCTAATTTCCAAGTTTACAACTTCACAGGTCGATATTGCTCTCAGAATAGTATGACTGACAGCTCGTGCTGATGGACTAGTGACATTATCTGGAGTTCCTCGAGTTGACCTGGCAGTCAGTGGCTTTATATTTATATCAAAAGGACTCTAAGCAATAAAAATACAATTGATAAATCGATGATAATTTAGGAAAAATGACAAGTAACATTAACCAGATTGCAAAAATTAACTGAACATTTATTAACATAAAATTTAGGGGTCCTTTATATATATATATTGAATTCGACCTCCTTCTTAGACAGGGATAGATGACAGGCAAGATTATGACTGACACACCATATCTTGAAAGTAAGTAATCCAATGAGAATCATATAATAGAGGAACGAGTGGTACACGTTTCTGTAATAGGTCCGTAGTGTCACTTGACGCGTACATTTAAAAGTCATCAAAGTACATTCAAAAATTTATCGTGTTTGTACTTTTAAACCTCGCTTGTCATTGGCCTCCGCTAATCTGATTAGTTCAATATATTAATAATGTTTTTTATAATAACGAGATCGCGGCCCCAGCCCACTTCGGTAATTTTTTGACCTTCGCTTCGCTACGGTAAAAATAACCTACGTTCCTGCTGGGGGCGATCTCGCGCCTGCAGCGGGCCACCGACGCCACTCAATGTTTATAAATGGGACAAAAATAGATTTTATTGATAATGAATATTTTATGTTTAATTTTGTGTTCGAGTTAGTACTTCAGTAAATACAACGTTGTCTATGAGTGTTGAAAATGACTGCTCTTTCAGTAAGATTACTTTGAGATTAGCAGGATTACGGACCCGTGATAAAGCAACATAAAGTTGACCGTGCGTGAAAATGGTAAGATCAGACAATTGGTGCAAACGAAAGAATTTGGCCCGGGACTTACAGCCCCTCCCAACTCACTCAATGCTAATCATTATTTTTTCACTCAATGTTTTATGTACTGTGTTGGTCGGGACTTACAGCCCCTCCCAGATCACTCAATGTTAATACACATTTTTTCACTCAGTGGTTTTTGTACTGTGTAGGTCGGGACTTACAGTCCCTCCCAATTCACTCAATGTTTATTATTACCATACATGTCGGTTGCTTCGACCTGCGCTTCGCTTGGCCGCGCAAGAAAAAAAAAACAGTCCGAATTACTAAATAAGGTATATACTGCAAAGTCAAAACAATCATTATAATATTGATTGTATAAATAAATGTATACTTTTGTACTTGTATTTAGCTTGATGAATATCGTGGTAGTTTGTTAAGTCAATTGTGAATATTTAATATGCAACATTAAAAGAAGTGTTTATACAGTAGTCGCTCGATTTAAGGGTGTTCGATTTAAGGGTATTTTCTATTTAAGGGTGGATTTTGGAAAAACAGCTTCCGTCCCCAGCATTAACACCACTAAACCACTATTCTATTTAAGGGTGAGATTCCAATTCCCCATACCCTTAAATCGAACGATTTGACAGTGTATTTTTGACTTTTTTCTAACTTTTTGATCAAATTTATTGAATGTCCGAATAAAAATAAATATTTCGCAGTAATGATCATATTTCACGGTTAAAAATGGCGTAGTGACTTCTGTTTAAAATAGTCACGATTTTCGATTTAAGGGTATTTTCTATTTTAGGGTGAGATTTCCGAGATTTTTGGTCACCCTTAAATCGAGCGACTACTGTAAAATTATCGTAATTGATAAAAATATGCTGTATAGATCAAGCATGCATGAATGTATAAAGCTCGATCACAACAACAATATCTGTTTTTGCCCACGTCTCTTCACATTTACGTCTCTCTTTGATCTTTGTGTTTTGATTTCTAGCTACCGGATGACGAGTAATTTTTTTGATACTTAAATTGCATTCCGTTGAAAGGAATTTCCCAACCACTGTTTTTTTAATGTGAATTGTTGTGTTTTAAGGTAAGTAAATTATAAGGCAGTTTGAAAATAATTTGAGACTGTTTATAAGATGCGTTTATTATAAAATAATATGAACAAGTATTTATATAAAAAAGACTATCTGCTGTGCCACTATCTGCAGTGTATCTTTGAAATTGTTATCATTTTCCCAGTGTTTATCCTGTTACATTAAAATGCTTATTTTGTAAATATGTTACACTTTGAATTACTGTTGTGGAAAAACAGTTTGTTTGACACGGAAAAATAAAAGATAAAAAACAGGAAGATTAAGATTAATATTGCTTGTAGGCTTTTTTATTCTTACTAAAAGTGAATTCCTTTTTGATCTTTGAAAGAAAGGGGGGTATTTATAGTTATTTAAAGCTTGGGTAAAATTATGGGCTGGTTTGTGTTCACTTAGTATTATTGGCTGTATATACTAATGACCGATAACACTATGGCGGAAATAATGGA